AAGAGAAAAAAAGAAAAAAGAAAGAAAAAATGATGATAAAAAAGAAAGAAAAGAAGGAAGAAAGAAAGTAAGAAAGATAAAATGAAAAAAGAAAAAGTAAAGAAGAAAGAGAAGGAAGACAAAAGAAAGAAAGAAAAATGAAGAAACAAAGAGAAAAGTAACAAGAAAGAAAAAAGAAAGTAGAAAAATGAAGATAGGAAAAGGAAAGCAAAGAAAGAAAAAATGAAGAACTAGTGAGAAAAGAAAGAAGAAAGAAAAAGAAAGAAAGAAAGGGAGGGGGAAGTAAAAAGAAAAAAGAAAAGAGATTAAAAAAGGTAGAAAGAAAGAAAGAAAGAAAGAAAGAAAGAAAGAAAGAAAGAAAGAAGAAAAATGAATATAGAAAAAAGAAAAACAGTGAAAGAAAGAGGGGAGTAAAAAGAAAGAAGAGAAAGAAAAAAAGGAAGAAAGAAAATGAATAAAGAAAGAAGAATGTAAAAAAAGAATGAGGAACGAAAAAGAAAAGAAACAGGAAAGATAAAGAAAGAAAGAAATATAGAAAGAGGGAAGTAAAAAGAAAGAAGGAAAGGAAGAAAAAATGGAAGAAAGAGAAAAAAAAGAAAGAGAAAAGAAAGAAAGAAAAAGAAGAAGGAAAAAAGAGAAAAGAAAACAGAAAAAAGAAAGAAAGAAGAAAAATGAAGAGAGAAAAAAGAAAGAAGCAAGGAAGAAAGGGGGAAGTAAAAAGTAAGAAAGAAAGGAGTAAAAAGAAAGAAGAGAAAGAAAAAAGAAAGAGGATGCAATAATGTTCCCATGCATTTAATGCCTGCTTCTGTGAAATGAAAAATCTTACCCATTTTAATTTTTTTCATTTGTACCCTCTTCTTTAACCCTAGAACACTAACCATCAATTAAAGTTACACCACTACTAACCATGGGTATATCATACCCGATTTTGAAAATATCAAAAAAAAAATATTAAATATAAATCTTTATTTGAAATATTTTACATGCAGGCACTTCAAACCTTGTACTTTGAGTTAACATTAATAGGAACTGAAAAACATTATTTAGGTAAGAAAATCAGGTACTGAATATTGTAATTAAAAATAGGAAAATTTGCGCTGGGTACTATATACCCATGGTTAGTGTTCTAGGGTTAAATAATAACTTCCATTTACAATTATGATTTCATTATAGTTGTCAAGCTCAAATATTTAATGATATGATAGGGTAATTTCTACAGGTATTTCAGAGTCATGTGACTTGCAAGTAACATATCGAATCAATAACTTAGGAATTATGATTTGTCGGGCGTTTCTTGTAAACTATAAAATTATTAAATATTTTTAAAAAATTATTTTTTATTGATGTTCACTTAATATAAGGCCCAAGAGCCACTCAATGTAGATGGTTACTGTATGGTGTTGTATTAGCGTTAGAAATGGCAAGAAGTGAAGTTCATGGAACTATGCTACCAAACTACCAAACAACCAATTTAAAATAATTTTCGTGACATTAGTCTATATAATATCCTACAATTTGTTAAAGAAACCAAACTGTATTCCCAAATAGAACTTTAACAAGACTACAAAATGACTGATCCAGTTCTTTCAAACAGGACAATTAAGTTCCGAATCATGTAATCCCGAGGAGCTACTCTGACATTGAAACATTTCCGGCATTTTCTCAGAGTTTGAATAATTGATCTTTCACTGGAATAGAAAAACTCAGACTTTTACTCAATGGTGGAACATCATACTTAGCCAAGCACAAAAGAGTACCATTTACCATGTAACATCCTGAGTGAGGCGATAAACTACACCTACATCCTGGGTAAGATGATAAACTACATCCAACAGCAAGGCCTCTGATGAGGAGGTATTGAGAAGCATGGAACCACCTCTTAATTGCTGGTCTTCCCAGGTCCACCCTGACCTGGGGTGGTAGCACCTGTTGGGGTCCCAGCTATGGGCAAATAGTTGACCCCCCCACCACCAATTTGGAGTCAAAACACTATGAAACTGTAAAAATAAGTTTTAATACCAGCAATACATTTTTGTAAGAGGCTATTACCAGCAATGAACTTTTGAAGAAAATAAATATTACCAGCAATACATTTTTGAAAAAGATATTACCAGCAATAAAAATCTTCAGTATCTGTCTATATTTCTGGGATGAGATATTATGTACACTATTTACATTATTCGGACTAACCACCCGAAGAAGGCTAGAGCATACAACGGCCGGAACATTGTAATAAATATGGCGACAAAGGACAATAGTATGAATAATGTAAATAGTGTACATAATACCTCATCTCAGAAATATAGGCAGATATCTTAGAAGTGTTTTAATATCAATCATTCTATATGGCAGTGAATGCTGGACAACTTTCTAACAGATGAAGAAGAAAGTTGAAGCAGCAGAGAACTGGTGCTACAGAAGGATGATGAGAATACCATGGACAGAGTATGTGAACTACAAAGTTTTAAGGAAATTGGAATGAAAAAGATACATAATTAACATCAGAAAGAGGCAAAGATGAGGACAATATAATGTAATAGTGTAAATAAAAATCTTGTTGGCATTAAATAACCCATTGAGGCTGATATGCTGTAAAACAAAACAAACCAAGTCAGTCTACCATGTAATCAATTGTGAAAGCAGAATAACATATATCATATTTTTATTACTTCAAAGCTCCCAAGAAAATTAAATTTCAGTGTTAAATGACCCATTAAGAGTTGACATGCCATTGAACAGACAAATCAGTCAATCAATAATAGGGAAGCTAATGGTTAACTCATGGCTTGAAGAGAACAAGATTGTTGTGAAAATGAAAGAATAACCAGACTTTAGATGCAACCAAAAATTTGTTCTTAAACAGGAAATAAAGGATAAACTTCTATTCGTGTTCAAAAGACCAGAAAGGTGTGTGAACTGGATGATAGGCGAACCAATCTACTCCTCTTGAGAGAGAGAAAGAGAAATAAACAATTAGTGAATAAAATTTCAGAGTTCAGGCATAGATGATGGAAATATAGAGTTGGAGTAGATTCTAGAAAGAACCGGAAACTCAATCCTAAACAGGAAACTTAGGCTGAGATTCATAGCAAGAAACTTCTCGAGTGGAACTTACATATCACCAATGCAATACGAAGTTAATGAGGGTGATTCACTATAATGTGTCTGGCATGGCAGGCTTTGACTTTGAAGTTTAGAACTTGTCGAATTAAGGAATGTAGCTCGTTTGAATACTTTTGATGGAAAGAGCAGCAAGAGGCTTGTGGCATTTCATCTGTGGGAAAGGGGTTGTTGGGTGGAAAATAATTCATCACCCACAGGGACGTGGAGATGATTCTAGACACTGTCAAGACTGGAAAGTGAAGCTGAGACAGCTCCCACATATATATGGCAGCAGTATTTCATATTTGGCCTGATCTGGTGCTTGTAAAGGTAGAAGATGATTGAATTGATTGATTCATATTCTATGGTTTATGTTGTAGAGTAGCTATCACCCCTTCAGAACTCTTTCCTTTTTGTCTAAAGACAATCTTCAAGCCCTTAATACATTTGATTTTCTACTAGATACATTTTTGTTGCTTCAAGTCTCTTCTTCATCTGTAAGGAGATTGTCCAACATTCACTGCCATATAGGAGATTAAATATTACATAGCAGTTCAACACTCTTTTCTTTGTTTCTAACATTTCCTTTCTCTTAATACTTAACTTACTTTTTCAAAGGCATGAAGAGATTGTCCAACATTCACTGCCACAGAGAAGATTAGATATTATATAGTAATTCATTCTTTTCTTAGTTTCTGTTGTAGAGTATCTAGCACCCCTTCAGCACTCTACCAGATGGCCAGGCTATTAGCCTTAAATAGTCTACGATTAAGAACTTCAGCAGTTGATTAATAAGTTGATACTAAGCTGATTAGTATTCGGATTAATCTTACTTTGTTTGCCTTATACAGTATTTGACCCTCATCTATTCCTTGTAAGTTGTCTTGTTAATTGTTTTGTAACTTACTGTCCTGTGTTTTTTGTATGCATTTGTTAGCACTTGATACTGGTGCTGAATAAATATATAAAGCACTCATTCTTCTCTGTGTATCTTTCACTTCAACGATACAAGGATAAAACTAAAAAAAGGAATAAATACACATGTAAGACTAGTTTAGTCTGAATAACAAATAAACAAATGAAAGGGTAACAAGGAATATAACAAAAGCAGCCTTATACTTAAAAATAGAATTAAGACCATTTGTCTAAATGGCTAAAGGAAGTTAGTGAATAATTTGTTTAGATGAATATGTATAAAGTTTGCTACAGGAATATGTTTTAATGTTGCAGTGTGTTCACAGAAAGGCAGAAAGTTACATGAAAATTACATTTAGTCTGATCTTTTGCTTGTAAAGGTAGAAAATGATTGGATTGATTGATTCATTCATTCATATTCTATGGTTTATGTTGTAGAGTAGCTATCACCCCTTCAGCACTCTACCAGATGGCCTGGCTCATAGCATTTAAATAGTCTAGGATTAAGGACTTCAACTTTTGATCAATAAGTTGATACTAAGCTGATTAGTATTCGGATTAATCTTACTTTGTTTGCCTTATACAGTATTTGACCCTCCTCTATTCCTTATAAGTTGTCTTGTTAATTGTTTTGTAACTTATTGTTCTGTGTTTTTTGTATGTATCTGTAAGCACTGGATACTAGTGCTGAATAAATATATTGAGAACTCATTCTTCTCTGTGTATCATGCACCTCAATGATACAAGAGTTTGTAAACCCTTTGTAGGTTATTTAAATCCAGAAAATATTTTTGGGCAGTAATAATGATTTAGTGATACAAGTCTTACTAATCAACCTGTAGTTGTGGAGAGACGAAGCAGATTCATACCTTTCCCAAGAGTGTTTCTATGTCAGTGAATATAAAGCACTCACTGGATCCTTGTTCTCCGCTTTACAATTCCAAGTCATTAACCATTTCACCATCTGTATATCTAAGCTTATTGCACATGGTTTTCTCAAGCAGTCACCAATCTAGGTACTAACCAGGCTCAATGTTGCTTAACTTCAGTGACCGTATGGGAACAAGTGTTTCAAGAATATAATCATTATTTTCTCTCTCTTTGGTGTCATTAAACTCCTCAATGAAGCAGAGTGCCACAGCCTCACTACATTATGTGTCTCAGTTCCAATTTTCATATCAAGTAGAATTTTCATTCCCATGCCTTTTCTGAAAGTATAAAATTATATCTGTTGTTGAAGTCATAAAATTGTGTACAGAATAATTCGAGTTCAGCTTTAAATAACAAATATAGGTTGATATGCAGCTAAACTAAAACAAGTGAACTAAATCAAGCATTCCCTTGTCCAACTGGCTTTGCATTCAGAGCTATCCTTCTACAAAACTGGTTGCCAACCAAGGCTAAATATTCCAGTCTGACTTGTTTTTTTTAATCCAAAGCTTAAGGAGAGGAGAGAGACATTCTTATCTTTCCCAAAATTCAAAATGAATACTACAAAATCAGACAGAATTTGAAATAGGTTCATTGATCTTTTTTTTGATTACATTATCTATATTGTAAACTCTTCCATCATTGATCAACACAGGCTGTTGACCCATGCTGACCGGGAACCCTTTTATGACATATGAGGGTCAGGTACCTCAGGTCCTAGGTACTGACAGCTAGACAACCTGCACATATGATTTGATTATAGTGGTGAAGGCTTTCTCCAGAACCAACTTCACTTTTTGAAAAGCCGAATACAGAGACCTGGAACACCATGTACCAAAAGTCTGCAAATGATCCTCCGTTTATCTATATATTCACTATTTACATTGTTTGGACTATCATCCTCATCTTTGTTGAGGAGAACATGACAAAAGACTGTGTGTACGCTATCCCGTGCAGTTGCGGAAAGAAATATAAAGGGGAGACAGGCCGCCCTCTTAAGGTAAGGATTCAAGAACACCAAAAATCTGCAACACGAGGAGAAGTGGAAAAATCAGGCATGGCTGACCACATATGGAGAGAAAAGGGAGATCACCGCCCTCTGTGGGATCAGGTTGAAACCATAGACAGAGAAGATCATTGGAAAATTTGTAAACTTACGAAATCAGCACATATGTTAGGCCACAAGAATCTTCTGAGCCGACCAAGCATAGAAATGAATACAATATGGGAACCAGTAATAAGGAGTGCCAGAGAAAAGCAATAATAACAATGAAAATTGCACTATTATTTTAAGTACCTTCACTTTTCAGAAATATTTATTGTTTTAAAAAGCCCTGATTAGAATTCTTAATTGAATCTAAACATATGGAAGTGCATTTATTCATTTTTTTTTGTTAAGTTACAGTAAAAATATTAAACACTATTTATTAGATTGTTTATTCAGAAGAATAATTTTATAGCTGTCTATATTTCTATGATGAGGTATTGTAACTATTCACACTATTTACATCGTTCAGACTATTGTCCTCATCTATAGTGACATATTCACAATGTTTCGACCATTATATGATCTGGTCTTCTTCAGGATATGTCTATATTTCTAAGATGAGGTATTGTAACTATTCACACTATTTACATCGTTCAGATTGTTGTCTTCATCTATAGTGACATATTCACTACATTTCGACCATTGTATGCTCTTGCCTTCTTCAGGATATATCTATATTTCTAAGATGAGGTATTGTAACTATTCACACTATTTACATCATTCGAACTGTTTTCATCTATCGGGACATATTCACTACATTTGGGCCATTGTATGCTCTGGCCTTCTTCAGGATATGTCTATATTTCTAAGATGAGGTATTGTAACTATTCACACTATTTACATCATTCGAACTGTTTTCATCTATCAGGACATATTCACTACATTTCGACCATTGTATGCTCTGGCCTTCTTCAGGATCTGTCTATATTTCTAAGATAAGGTATTGTAATTATTCATGCTATTTACATCGTTCAGACTGTTGTCTTCATCTATAGTGACATATTCACTACATTTCGACCATTGTATGCTCTGGCCTTCTTCAGGATCTGTCTATATTTCTAAGATGAGGTATTGTAACTGTTCAAACTGTTGTCTTCATCTTTATTGACACTGTTTCACTGGTTGTATGCTCTGACCTTCTTCAGGTGATATACGTTGGAATTTCAAACAATCTAGCCCCTCATGGACTATATAAAGGGTCAGTTTTGAAATTCCATCATATATCACTTGAAGAACGTCAGAGTGTACAATGATGAAAATGCCTTGAATATGGCAGTAAAGATGAGGACAACAGTCTGAATGATGTAATTAGTGTAAATAGAATAATTTTATATATACAACATTCTAAAAACTAAGACAACTGAAATATTGGTAAACATGGATCTTCATATCCACAAAAAAGAGTGTCAAAAGAACTTTTTTTTCCTTGACACTGCTATTATTTGTAATACCTTCACTCCTTGGCAATATTTATTGTTTTAAAAAGTAACCATTAGAATTGTAAATGAATCTAAACATATGAAAGTGAATTTATATATATTCTTTGTTCTTCAGAATTGAGATAAAAAATAATGAACTCTATTTATTAGAATGTTTATCTGCCCTGTTGATTCTGTCATCCCCACACGAGGGTGTCATGTGGCACAAGGCCTTTTTAATGTGGGCATTCCTAGCCCATGGGCTCAGCCAAAAATATGCCCATTGAACCCGTATAAACGGGTTCAGGGCTGGTTTTACCTCCCCGAAGGAGACTCTGCCCTTCGGCGTAGCCTCCTTCGGGTTCCTCCCGTCCATAGGAAGAGAGTACAACTGAACAGTCGCTCAGAAAGTACTGGGTCTGCCCTGTTGACAGACTGTTTTTTTTTTGCAGGCATAGAGATTGACCATATGTTAATATACTATCAGTATATATGTATTATTAATATTTATTAATATTTATTATTATTAATATTTGCAGGACATCAGGAACCTCTTCTCACCACTGTCAAATGGAGAAAAATGCTGTAGTGTGGACACATTACAAGTTATTACAGACTGTGCAAGACCATCATACAAGGCACTGTTGAAGGTGGACGTAAGAGAGGGTGCCAATGCAAAAACTGGTTGGACAATGTCAAAAAATGGACTGGTATGATTGTACCAGAATTGCTGATGGTTGTTGTTGATAAACTGTTGTGGAAACAAGTTAGTGTGCTTTCTATATTTGAATCAACTCTATGATTACAATAGTCAAAGTAAAGATGATAATGATGATGATTATGAATATTATTAATATACTATTAATATATATGTATAATTAATAGATATGTGGAACTCATACATACAATCTATTGGTAAAGATGCTGGAAGAATGATTGGTTCCCTGCACTGTTCTAGTAAGTACCTTACTCCCTCTGTTATTTGCTACTTTTATAAGAGCCAGATCAGATGGAGTACTATTGCCATATATAGACTGGAGCTGCTGCTTCTCAAGAGTTGCTACTCATATGAACTGACTCCCAAGAGGATGATTCCCCAATCACTACACTCTCAACTGTTACCTTCCTTACATATCCACATAAACTATCCCTCTTACTCTGTAATCAGTGTTTGTATAGGGTGAACATCACTGTAAAAATAAAACAGAATATGTTGGCAATCTTTAACTTTCATGTCCATGAGAAAAAAATGTGTGAAAAGGATGGTTTTTCCCTTGACACTACTATTATTTTAACTACCTTCCCTCCTCGACAATGTTTCAGTCAGTTATGTGCCATATGTGATACACACTTAGGCGATCATATATCTTTCGATACATGACTGACGAGGCAGATTTTTTTTCCCCTGCAGTAGGTTGCCATTTCTTTCTGCGGTAGACCAGTTGCCATCCAAAGCTATAGAACCCGGTCTGTCCCGCTATTTACCCATAGCTGGGGGTGGGGGAGAAGAAGAGGATTCATACCTTTCCCAAGGGTATTAGTACATAAGTGAATGTAATGGATTCGATTGGAATTTGAACTCAGCTCTCCAATTCTTCAATCTGAGATGATATCCATTACTCCACCATGCCTCCGTTTATTGTTTTAAAAAAGCAATGATTAGAATTTTAATAAAACCTAAACCTATGAAAGTGAATTTATCCATTTTCTTTGTTCTTGAGAACTGACGACAAAAATAATAAACATTATTTATTTATTAGATTCTTTATCTCTCCTTTTGGCACGCCATTTTTTTGCATATTAAAGATTGCCTGTAAGTTAATATATTATTAATATGTGTGTTTCATATCCTCAATTTTTGCTCTTATTTTTTTGTCTCAATTCAGCTCTGATGAGAAAATCAGTCAGTGTTTTCTAATTTATTTCCCCTTCTCCTTTCTGAATATGTATTTACTTTTTAGAATTGCCATTTTTTTTTTTATCGCCTTGTCTATTTTCCCATCTTTACTTAGAATAAATATGTTTATTTTTATCGCATTTCTGTACCCCAAGAAGATCTTTAAATTCTTTTATTACTTGTTTGGATTCTAATTTTATTACAGCTTATAAAGCTTTCTGTTAAAAAGTGTTGTTTTAATTGATGTTTTGGCTTCTTCTCCATATCCAGAAGTTGTGCAAATTTTCTGTCACTATTATACATTTTACAAAATTATTATTCAAAATCCATTTTTTAAACACAAGGGACGTCAATATGCATTTGATATGATTGATGTAGGTTCCAAGCGTCTGAATTTTTTTTGTTTTTTGTTCTGTATAAATAGAATTAGTTTATCAATTTTTTTCTTGCCAATTTGTCCGTAATGACTTGAAATGGTGCCAGTTAATTCTTGAAGGTTTTCCATGTTTGTCTATGAAATCTGCTAAAAGGAATAGAATGAAATAAGATATTTATTGAATAATTTCAAAACATTTAAAAGTAAAATCCCAAGGAAAAACAGTAAAGTATTTCAAGTTTAAACCAAAATCAAAAAAGAAAAAGAAAAACCTGCAATGAAGAAAAGAAAGAAATTAAGAACTGTATGTGATCCATCAAAAAGTTTTCTTCATCATTAGATGACATTAGAAGCATTTAGTTTAATCCAACTTCATTCAGATAGATCACTTTTGATTGTATGTTGG